CCTCATCTTTGAGAACTTGCCATTCCTACCCCACTGCCTATTACCTACCTGTTCATTAAATCCTTGTTAAATGGAAAATAACTGCAATGCATGTTCTGAGCCTCCAAGTGTCTGTGAAATCCTTGAGAAAAATTTCAAACCTTGTAGGAGATATTATACCGGAAAGGAGTAAGTGCTCATTAGAACATTTCCCTGTTTTATGTCCCTGATCCATAAGAGGAAAACCATGACCTCTCACATCTCCAATATCTAGAAATTGACCTTTTAATACATCATGGGCTACAGCATATTTTCCAGTACAAATTTACATTTTGTTTTCAGGTTTCTTTACCTAAAATGGTCATAGTTTTTTTTTTTTTTTTTTTTGAAGCTTTGATGCTCATCATTGTATGTTCTCTTTGCTGGTCTAAAAAAACCTTCAAAATCAGGAAGCTGGGAACAAATCCTATGCTTGAGAGGTTGACTAAATATTAAGATAATAACCTTGAAGAGATAATGCAACAAAAGGTCTCCTCAATCTTTACTGAAAGGATTACATTTTTGTAAATGTTGGGTCATAAACTCATGTCACCAGTTTATGGGAGCAAAGATATTTCTATTTGACAGAAAAAATAAGAACTTAATGCTAAAATCTAGAGAGTTGCCATAGTATTTCTTAGAACTCAAAAAATGGGTGTAAAATTATCTTGTCTTCCTCTGTTTTTATTTTATTCTTGACCCAGGCAATCATTCTAACATTAATGTTAGTTCATTATAAGTGATTCATAGAAAGAGCTGTTTGGCTAAAAGCAATAATATGTTTTAAATTTATTACATCAGGGTATGAAGGTTTAGCAAGTCTTAGAGTCTGATTTCAGATTATATCCTTGTCTTTTGTCTCCAATTCATAATGAATAGTGTATTCTGTAGTCAATTGCTGGCTGTCTTAGTCTGTTTGGACTATAAAAAAATACCTGAGACTCAGTAATTTACAAACAACAGAAATTTACTGCTCAGAGTTCTGGAGGATGGAAAGGCCAAGCTCAAGATACCAGCAGATTTCACGTTGGTAGGGGCACGTTCTATGTGAAATGGGCCTCCACTAGACACCATGTGTTCTTGCTTGACAGGCGGGACAAACGGCCTCCCTCAAACCTCTTTTGTAAGGGCACTGAAGAACCCTCGAGAGCCAATCACTTCCCAAAGGATGCACCTCTTAATATGGACACATTGGGAATTGGGTTCCAACATATGAATTTTAGAGGGACACACATTTCAGATCAGAGCACTGGTGGAATAATTCACAACTTCTGGTAAAGCAATGTGCTTAACCAAAGAAGTTTCATGAACCAAATATGCCTGTCATTTACACAAATGAAGCCAATGATCTTCCGTATGATCAAAAAACAATTAGATAACTTAGATGAATCTTAAGAGGATTATGTTGAGTGAAAAAATAATACCAATCTCAAAAGGTCACAAACTATATTATTTCATTTAAATATCATTTTTGAAATAAGAAAATTATAGATATGGAAATCAGTGGTTGTCAGGGGTTAGGGACTGGGGAGGAGGTGCCAGGGAGTGAGTGGGTGTGGCCCCAAAAGGTCAGCAAGAGGGAGGCATGTGATGGGTGAATGTGGTGTTTACATTAAGCTACACAAGTGATAAAATTGCATAGAAATATACATACCCCCCCCCACCAAAATTTGAATAAACTCGATTGCATCAAGGTCAATTTCCTAGCACTGATGTAGACTATAGTTAGGCAAGTTGTTACCACTGGGGAAAGGGCTGAAGGAAGGGGCAATTGACTTTCCTATATATTATTTTGCAACTTCTTGTGAACCTGTAATTATTTCAAAATAAAAAGCTTAAAAATCAGACACTTCCTTGTCAGATGAGAGGGATCTGCAAACGAGGTAAGGAGATAACACAAGTGTGTTAGTCTGTTCTCATGCTGCTAATAGATATAACTGAGACTGGGTAATTTATAAAGGGAAAAGGTTTCATTGACTCACAGTTCTGCGTGGCTTGAAAGACCTCAGGAAACTTACAATCAGAGTGGAAGGGCAAAGGGAAGCAAACGTCCATTTTCCTATGATGGCAGAAAGGGCAAGTGCCAACAAAAGCGGGAAAAGCCCCTTATAAAACTATCAGATCTCAGGAGAATTCACCCACTATCACGAGAACAGCATGAGGGAACGGCCCCCGAGATAAACCACCTCCCGCCAGGTCCCTCCCATGACACATGGGGATTATGGGAACCACAATTCAAGATGCAATCTGGGTGGGGTCACAGCCAAACCATATCAACAAGTAAATGAAGTGGCTAGCAGGAGGCAAGGTTAGTGCTGTGGCCAGCATCAAGGATGCAGCTGCTTTTTAGCCCCTGCCATGTGGGACCTGCGCACCTGGAACTGCCAGTCTTCTGAGTGCTGCTGTTTTATACCAAATGCTGGAAATCTAAATTTCTAATAAAATTCTGACTTTTACTATTGACAGCTATTACAATTCTAAGTTTACTTTTCTTTTTTAAAGCAGTCTCTCACTCTGTCATGATCTTGGCCCACTGCAACCTCGGCCTCCCAGGTTCAAGTGATTCTTGGGTCTTAGCCTCCTCCTGAGTAGCTGGGATTACAGGTGCGTGCCACCACACCTGGCTAATTTTTGTATTTTTAGTAGAGACAGAGTTTCACCATATGCAGCGGGCTGGTATCGAACTCCTGACCTCGTGATCCACCTACCTTGGTCTCCCTTTTGAACACTATATTGGCCAAACTAGAAAGCTAGATTTGTGTGCAATGGCCATTCATGTGCAAACGCAGCTTCCAGACAGAGGTTCAGTTTGGCTCCAAGATAAATTCCCCCCTCAACAACCTGGTAATCTCAGTGCACGGCTCACACTGGTTTGTAATCTCTTCGAAAACAGGGAGAAATGGTCACTCTTGAGGTAGTAAGCGTTCTGATCAGGCCACTAAAGAAAATGTCTTAAGTCACCAGTCGTTGGTACCCAGAGATTCTGAAGAATGTCAGCATTCATTTGATCACAGATCAGACTCACGCTGCTGTGACTGGAATCTCCTGTCTACTCTGACCAAGATCTTCACAACCACTTCCTCAGCATACTGCCTAAGGCATAGTAGGTGCTCAGTTTGTGTGGTTAGAAACATTCATTTGGTTTTCCCCAGCTGTCTTAGTTCTGTTACTTTTTAGATCTAAAAGAGATCTACAAAAACTGAGAACAGGAACTAGAATTGATACCTCGTGCCACAGTTTTCCTGTGGCTGACACAATGGCCTGGTGACAATAGTTCATACACAGATGCCAGCAGTAACCCTATAATCTCTGTCTCTATTTGAAGCTTTGAATACAAGCCTTTTACTCATTATAAAAAATGAGCAGACGAAGGGGTGGTAAGATCCTCATTCCGGTTTTGGTTCCTTAAAGTCTTTATCACCCCTGCCCTGTTAAATGCCCACAGTCTAGACATTCCTTCCTCGTCAACCCCCAACCAGGCCATCTGACTCAAAAGAAGTGAAAGGAGGACATAGCATGTTCTTCACAACCTGCAAAACAGCTCCAAACACACCATCTGTGAGTCAGCAACACCCCACTCCAGCCCCACACTGTCCCAAACACCACCTTGTGCACCAATCAGACGTCCATGTCCAGTCTGTAGTAGCCTGAATTCCTTCATGAAGGGGGTGAGGAGAAAAGTTCTAACCTTTCAGCTTTCAAAATTTCATCTATGGCCTAATTACATATTTGCAAAATCAAATTTAAAATGATTAAGAGATTCATTTCCATTACTTCTATTCTCTTTCCCCAAAGTCATCTGCTAATAAGAGTCCAGAGGATGTTTGCTAATCCTCCTTTTAAAAAGAGACTATTTGTACGTATTACATAAATATATATCAATAAGAGATCTTTCTTGTTTGCCGTTTTTCACAAAGCTCTTTAATATGCAGACTTTTAAAAGGTTGGTTCGCAGCCTTGAAAATTACGCTAACGGGGTAACAGCAATAATTCAAATTGTAGCCACTAATTTCTCTAAGGGAAAATAACGCTAAGACCCTGGGCTCTGCGTGTGTTTTCAACTAATTATCATGTATTTACTTTTCTGTTAGTCCAATAATTTTTCTTTCAGTTCAGAATCAAGCAATATGACACTCAATTATATAAAGGCCCGTTTAGCATAGCAGACACGCCTCATCATTCCCTAGTACTCTGATTTACCGCTCTTCAAATGCACAACCGGGGGGCTGTCTATATGCCCTTCTGTATTTATATTCCATCACGCAGTCACCTCAATAACTTATGCATTCTCAGAAGGTCTACCTAGCAATTAACTCCAGTCATTTCTAACTCGCCATCTCATTATGTAAAGTGGATTTGAACATAAACTTTATTAGCAACTTTCAATTCTAATTCCTGATCTCCCCCACCCCTACTCTGCTGAGCAATGTCAGTTTCTATGTGACAAAAATGCTCTGGAAAACGGCAGTTTAAAAAATCCGCATCAGACTGCCAGCACATCTAGTAATTAGTCTTTGCACTACGGGGCACTATTTTAAATCGAGATTGTCATATTTCGGCTAAAGCATGCGACCCAGTTCTTCATAGAAATGGAAATCAATTCCCCCTGCTTTACAACCTAGCCTTTTGACTATGTTTAGGAGGAAAACACAGGGAGGAAATCTATCATTTTTATTCAAAAGGTCAAAACCTAAAAACACCGAAACAAAACACAAAGAACCCAACCCGAACTCCTTTGCTAAAAGGTAAAGGACTTCTTAGGATCTCTTCTTCAAACTTGAGAAAGAGAAGGGCTAACCTGCAGACCTGTCTCATGCATATGACGTGTATCAGCTAAATAGATGAAATGGGGTTTAATGTACATGTTTTCATGGTAAAGAACCAAGGGGGGCTGATGAAGGTTCTCATAAAACTAAAGCAACGACAGCACCTGAAGACAAAGCGTTCAATGCGTGACAGGGTGATGCCTGCAACCCGCTTACCAACGTCAGGGTCCACGGCTTGAACTCTGGTTAACAGAGCCTTGGTGGCTGTGTTCTCATAGACGCAGGCATTGTAGCGGTCAGAAGAAAACACAGGGGGGTTATCATTCACGTCCTCCAGGATTACGTGGATGGTGGACTGGCAGAATCTGCCACCCCCATCGGTGGCTTTGGCGATCAGGCTGTACACAGGGACCCTCTCCCGGTCCAACAGAGCCAAGGTCTTTAACTCGCCTGTGAACATAAATGGCAGCATGATTGGTCTGACTTTTTAAACACTCCATTTCTTTGGAGAGCAGAGGACCAATTAAATAAAGAATTCTCAACATAGGAAGGACTAATGGCATTTGGCCCTATCATCCCAAACTTTAAAAATGTAGCAAATTCAACAATTTTAGGTATCAGGGGAACATGAATAGGATTCTAGATGCAAAAACAAAACAGCTACATGACCTTTGAATTAATCCCTTTTTGAAACCTCTAGTATAGAAGCCTCTTTATTTCAGCTACATGGAGAAGCCCCAAATCTTTTTAAACCTCTTAACATTTACTCCGGAGATCAGTCTCTGGATTTCTGCTATATGCCCAGAAAACACACAGAGAATGGACTGGTATCTCTACTTCCCTGATGCTCAATGTTGTCAACAACCCTTAGACCCAGAAGGGCAGTCTCTTCGCCTCCAGATAGTCAACTTTTTACTTCATCATTTATAGGAAAACAGGTAATGCAAACAGAGGCTGGCCTTAGCGGTGATCAGGGTCTTGAAGGACCCCTACTGTGCAAGGGTTAACCCTTAACTTGCAGGATTGTGGAATGGCCTGAGGTTGCCCAGGGAGGAGTCAAGTGGTAGAAAACTTGAGGAGCAGGGCAAAGCAGCTCCTTAGCATCCTGCATGGAGTAAGGTGATGTCCGTATTTTAACCACTGGAACAGCTGTATTCGTGCCGAATACCAGCTTTTGTGAAGATTTCTGTGTTGTTTAACTTTCAGAAGATAATGACAACAAACACAGCGACAAACCTGAATAAATGTTATTTGGTGGAAAGTATGACTCACGAAATATTATCACTCTTAAATAAAATTAGTAGGTGTTATTTGGATGAAGCTACCTACATTTATTAAGGCAGTTCCTCCTTGAGCTTCCCGGCGATGGCCAGCCAGTTCTCAGACACAGGTTGGATCATTTCCCTCTCCTACTCAAAAAGCATCCAGTGGCTTTTCACTGGGATATTCAAGACACTCCGCAATCCGCTGGCCTAAAGTAGTTCTCCCTCCACTTTTGTATGTGGCATTACCTGGATTACTATGCTCTCTGCTCATGCTGTTCCTGTAACTTGTAGTATCCTGTTTAAGCCACTGAGAATCCTGGCTCAATTCAAATGCTAGTTATTCCTTTAAGCAGTTTCCTTTTTCCTTTTATCAGAATATTAGTTACATCCTCCTCTGTGCGCAGATAAGCTCTGCTTATATTTCTCCTGAACACTCATTTCATTCTACCTTTCATTATTATTATTCTTGGTTTACGTGCCTGTCTTCCCTACTGGATTACAGTATCTGTTGGGCATGATTTATTTTATTTATCTTGGAGTCTACCATAAATATCCCATAAAGTGCTTTTATGTCTACTGGCTGCTCAATAAATGTTACCTATTGAATACATAATCACCAGGCCCATCTAGCTGAGTAGTATATTCCCACGTAGCTAAGTCAGTGCTTTTCTGTAGGGTGCAACTGACATGGGAGTGGGGCAGGGAGGAGCCACTACCTTTCTGGAGACTAAATAGTTATTGTTCACTAGGACTAACACCACACTGGAAATATGCAAGCTAGCCAACCTTTACACGTAAATTAAAAAACTGTCATGGGAGGGGCCATCCAATCCACAACACTAAAATAATTTGCCTCCATATAAAAGGCTTTTAAATTAGCTTTGGTCTTTAATGCCGGCATCTGCCTTTAGCTTATACAACCTTGTACCTCGTCAACTTTGCCTGAATACAAAGTAAGAGAACCTAAGCGTTCACACGACTGGAGAAAACTAGGCAAAAAGTTTAACAAAAACTGGACAACCGTGTTAAGAAGAATCAGAAAGGGACACTAAAGACGTTTCAAAAGGAGAAAAACTCTCCTTCCTATGCATTACTGTCTGATTTTTGCAACGTGCATTTGTGATCTAACTTCATATATACCTGTTATAAGCACATACCTTAAAACTAACAGCTCTGAGAAACAAGAGAAGCAAACAAAGATGTCTGCTTACTTGATGCTAATAAACGCAGGTCAAGTCTGGGCGAGTTTTACAAAGAAAATAAAAAGCTTCCATGGTCCAGAGCACCCATATTTGGACATGCTCCTACAATTTCTTAGAGTTGAAGATATTGAGCATCATGTTCTTGGGATGCAGAGAATGATACCCCAAAGTATGGTGCTTTGGCATGCTGAGTACTTTGAATTAAAAAAATGTGGAAGGCGTTAAAGCTGCCTTAGAACCAAGAACTTTCAAACCTTCTCTTGTTCCCCCTCATCTCTCCCAAGTGCAGGTGGGACTCTATGAAATTTCCTCATCTGACTAAGAAAACTTCTTTCCAAAAGAAATGCATTTGTCTTAAGATCCCCCCTCCATAGAAATCTCATCAAATAACCAGGAAACATTGGCCACCAGAGAAGAGAAAAGAGACTAAAAGTCATCACCATGTCCAGAGAAACTTTTTATCTGTTCTTCTGAGGGCAGCTCTGTGAGATTAGCCAGGAGACTTTATCTGCATAACTAGACAACCTTTGTTCACGTCAGCTTAGTCCCTCACCTTCCCTAAATTTGCCAGTTCCACTGAGTTTCATAAGATAATTTTTTTTTTACAAAATAATGGGAGACTGCCAGGTCCACCCATTTCCTCCAAAAATTATTGAGCACCCCTCTAAAATTGCCCACTGTCCTCCAACTTCCCTCTCACCTAGCAACAGCCTTAACCATGTGGTCCTTCTTTGAGTTTCTCATATTGGGGGGTGTGGTCCCCATGTGCATATAAGTACATCTGTATGCCTTTTCTTCTGTTAGTCTGCCTATTGTCAGTTCATTTCAGCAAACTTTCAGAACGGATGGAAGAAAAATTCTCTCTCCATCCCTACAAGAGGAAGTACACAACTATTCACCAGTGAGGAGACCACATGAGTTTAACTTCTCTCATTGATTAACAATGACATTTACCCAGAAAATAAATGTCAGCTTACCACTTTCTGGATCTAGAAAAAATTCACTGTTTCCAGATCCATAGAGTGTGTACCGTATATCTCCATTGGATCCAATATCAGCATCCTTTGCACTGACTTTCAGGATGAGTTTATTTGATGGAATATCTTCAGGAAGTAACGCTGTATATGCAACCTTGATAAAGGTGAAGGAAGGAAATGAAATTATTAGTATTTCTAGGGACAATTACCATATTTATCACTATATAGAATTTATAAATTCATTTATATAATTTAGCTTTTATTTTTTCTTTCACTACAGAAACATATTACAATATATTATGAAACACAGCATATCTGCTGATCCGCCACTCCCATGCTCATTCATTTAACACACATTTATTGAGCATCAACTATGTGTTAGGTACCATTCTAAGTGCTAAGAGAACCACAGCAAAGAAAACAGAAGAACACCCCCAGTCTTGTGGAACCATGACACACAACACATATTGACCATGGTTGTCTGTTTTTTTGTTGCGCCCCAGTGAGTCCTAGGAATTCTCTTCAACTCTTTAAAGAGCCACTACCAGCATCCGGCATGAGTATGAGAGATTAAATCTACTTGCAATACTTTTTTAACCTATAGGACATTAATATTGTCTCTTGGTCCACGTGATTGAAAAGAATAATCGTGATTTAATTTCAGTATGAGAGAAAATAAAATCTAGTACTTGTACCTTGCATTGGCATTATGTTTTGTATAGGAGCAGAAAGGCTACTTCATAAGGAGCCTGGAGACCAGCCTGCAGCACCAACTTTGCCGCTAACCAAATGTGTAAGCTTATATAAACAAGCTAACATCCTGGAGAGTGGCCCATTTCTCTTTTATGTTATCAGTGATTCAAACAGAGTAAGTCCTAAAGTCCTTTATGATTTACTTAAAAAAATATTTAAGATACTTTTTTTGGATGGGGGGTGGCAGGGTACAAAATTAGGTATCTGATCTCGATACCTATACTTTTTTCACGGTTTCAGTGTTTCTTCCTAAACTTCACCTTCTACCCTCTTACACTCAATTGCAGATAAGAGCAGAAGTTTGCCTGGCCTTAAGAAGAAAAGTGAAATGCGTTTTAATTTTGGAGAAGCAGAGTAAAAACAGAGCCCTATCCCCGCATCTCACCTGATCACACACTGGGCTATTGTCATTCACATCACTGACAGTCACTTCCACCATGGTCTGTGTGACAAACAGCCCATCAGTGGCAGTGATATTGAGAAAGTAAATGTCTTGTTCTTCTCTATCTAGAGGCCTCTTCACATAGACTTTCCACTCACTTTGCACCAGGCCCAGGGCAAACCTTCCTCGAGGGTTTCCTCCTGCAGTTTTAAAAAAAGAAAGGCTTTTGAAGATGTGCAATGAAATGTCTTAATCTACACCCACCTGGAAAGGTGCATGGGGGGGTCATCCAGGTACTCCTCAAGCTGTATCATTTATGATACTAAAAACATATTGATACTCCCTTTGATTCTTGAGCAACAAAGCATGGTATTTATATGCTTGGCTTGTGTGAAAAGCAAAACAGCACCTTCCCAAGATAATACAATCCACTTAGAGAAGCTGGAGATGATCTCTTGTTTAGTTCTCCTTAAGAACAATCAAATTCAAACTGTGAACAATCCATCGTCTTCTCAGGCTGACACAATTGTCTTTCCACTTAGTCTCAGGAGAGGATGTAACACACTCTAGCTCTTGTTACCAAGACAATTTCATTAGCCGTTGATTACGCAGTCAAGGAAAGGCAGTTAACTCTATTAAGGAATCTTTTAATGAAGGCTTTATCATACAGCTGTGCTCTTCTCATAAGAACTGGAGTTTGGGGGAGAAAAGTTCTCATGACAGAGGAAGGCCCATTAGTGTTAAATAGCCCTAACAAGGGGTCATTTAAAAAGCAGTTCAAAGATAAGCACTGCAATTAGACCAACTGTATCAAAGTGAAGCTGGGGAAAGTGGAAGAAAAGAAAACACATGAAGTGGAACAGCTTTCTAAGATCCTGAAGCACTGACAGTGGTCCCAGCGATATGACTTTTCCACGTCATTAAGCTACACGGGGGCAAAAGCAGCTTGGGGAACAAGATAGGAAGAAGGAAGAAGATAAGCGACCTTGACATAATCCCTAAGAGGCGAAAAAATGTCATTTCAGACACTGAGAAAGACTGAGCAAGAACACTGGCAAGAAGTCAGGAGTCAGGTTTGATGACTACCATTGCATTTATTTGGGCATTCAAGGTATTTATCATCTACTCTGGGCCAGACACTGTTCTAGGCAGCAGGGCCACATCAGTGGACTAAACCAGCAAAAGCACGTACTGTCTTGGCAGAACTCACATTCTGGAGGGAAAGGCTGAAAATAAATAAGGAACGTATACTCCATGCTGACCGCTATTTCAAAGAAAAACATGGAGCCATATTCCCTACTTACAATGAAGCTTTAAAAAGCAGAGGGTTCTGCTGAAAAGACTGAGTGGGAAAAAGTGGGACTTTGAGTGCCAGATTATATTCTTGCTTATAAGGCAAGGGGCTGCTGAGTCTGAGGGCCTCGGCACTGGGCGTGGGGGCAAGCCACAGTGGAATACAATAAAACCAAATCAGCCAGACAGTGCGGAAAAGGGGAGCGCTGCATTTTCCTCTGGGGAGTGGCTCTTCACTGGGGATGACTGTGCCCTTCCCCTCTGTGGGGATATTTGTCAATGTCTGGACACATTTTTGCTTGTCACATCGGTGGGAGGGAAGTGATGGTGGTGGTATGTGCTACTGGCATGTAGTGGGTGGGGGCCAGGGAGGCTGCCAAATATCCTACAGTGCACAGCACAGCCTCCCAGAGTAAAGAGAATTATCTGGCCCCAGATGTCAAGAGCGCTGTGGCTGAGCAACCCTGCTCTAGGGAGCTTCGGGGTCCTCCCCGGGATATCACTTTCCTCTGCCACTGGCCAGGATTCAATTATGCGTTGGTTGAATATTATTTCAGCACACACAAATTTAACCTCTTTATTCAATGCTTTCAGTGCGGGCCCACACTGTTCTTTTGTTACATAAAATGATTAATGGTCCTTTGTTAATCGGAGGCAGCACAGCCAAGTTGTGTTACATCGAGAGCAAAAGTTAAATCTAATTAAAATCAGTTGGTGGTTGGCACTGCTAATAGTAACAGTAGCTTTAAGCTACTCCGTACTCATTACTTTGCTAAAGTCGATGGGATAGTCCCTTTAAATCATCCATTGGCAATTCAAAGGCTATCTATAAATAATTAAGGCTGAGTATTTTACAGTTTTTCCAAACAGAAAAGGACCCTTCAGAATGCCTAAGAAGCTTTTTTTTTTTTCTGAAAGTAAATGCAAATGAGTCAAAGTGATGCTTCACATACCTCTTTCCTCACCACTATCTTTCATGTTTTAACTGCAGAAATACATATTTTAATAAAAGACAGAAGGTCTCAGATAAATCATAAAATGTATAAACTGCTTCAACGGGAAAACACCCTCAAGAGAACAGTCTCATAACTAAAAGGAAGAGAATCACGGCGAAAGTGTGGCAACCCCACGCGTTGACACATTTGCTCTATTGTGGAACTTATTCTGCAGTGATTAATTAACTTTCCCACTAACATATTTAAGCAGATTCTGTGTCCTAAGGGCATTCTAATTAATTCATTTTTCACTGTGAATAATGTAGTTTTTCTCAAGGGAGGCCACCTGACTACAAGCATTGATGGATTCTTTACAATCTTTGGCACTTTATGTTCTGCCATTCAGTGGGACAACATAAAAATATTAGCTTTAAACCCCCCACATAGTTTTTAGAAAGAATATCCCCACACAACCAACCCTCTCCTTTTTCAGTTAAAGGTCAGCTGACCCCCTGGAAAACTACACTGGCATGAAACCCTTAGCCTCTCAGAGCAACAGTGACATTCTCTGTGCCTTCCTAGTGATTGACTTTGCCTGTCTTGGCTTTCCACCTACGCTGCTACTTACTATTTTGAAAGACAGAAAAGAAATCCAAAAGCATTTGGTTGTCAGAAGAAATAGCAGTTGATTTGTAGTTATAATTTAGGACTTCTCCGGGAGAGATCAAACCATGCCATCTAACGTGTGTACATGTGTGCACGTGTGTTGCTACGACCGGCAGACATGTACCCGTGAAGCTTACTGCGATCGAGCTATTTGTTTTGCTCAGTATTGCAAAAGATAGGAAAAAAAGAATATGCTTAAAGACATATCTCCCCACCAAAAAGTTGCTATTTTCATTCCTTCAACTGAGATATTTGGCAGGACTCTTTTTTAAATAGGAAGAGGTGACACAAAGACTAGTTACCAGTATGGGTAACACATTTACGGCAAATCTGTGAACACCAAACTATGGCTGAGTTAGCAACAGTCAACAAGCAAAAAAAAAAAAAAAAAACCCAGTCTACTCAGAGATCTTTTACCCAGCTCCAGAGAGGCTTCATTACACTCAACGCCTCATCCCATCTTCCTTCTCTCTTACTCTTCTGCTGCCATATTCCATCTTTCTTTATCATGCAGAGCATATAATGAAAACTGGTAGTGCTTACTCACCTGTAATATGGTAGCTCACTTGACGATTAACGTCGGACGTGTCTCTGTCCCAGGTGCTGAGGACAGCTACCACCTCACCCGGTGGGTCGCTCTCCTTCACATTCCCTCGGTACACTTCCTGTACAAAGACTGGCGCATTGTCATTTATATCTGTCACCCTGACAGAGACCAAGGCTGTGGAGGAAAGAGAGAACGCCTCTCCAAGGTCAGAGGCCACCACCGAGAAGGTGAATGTGGGGTCTGTCTCATGATCTAGGTCCTTCAGGGTACTGATCCAGCCTGTGTTGCTGTCAATATTGAATGCTTCCATTACCTTTTCCGGCTCGGAATCTGAGTGGAGGGAGTAAGTGACCTGCCCATTGGCTCCCCAATCCATATCAATAGCTCTCACCTGTGTGAGTTTGGTGCCAATCGGCATCCCTTCCATTATAATGGTGTCGTAGCTTGAAGTTTCAAAGACTGGCTTGTTGTCATTCAAATCCAATACCTTGATATCTACATCCACAGTAAACACAATGTCTACTTTGTCCAGGGGAATCGTGGCTGCTACTTTAAAGTGGAAAGCTGGGCTGGTTTCATGGTCGAGGCGCTTGTCAAGCTTAATAGTACCCGTTTCCTGCTCTATGATGAATACACCCCCTTTGTTATTTTCTGGCCGTTCCCCATTAACTGTGCTGAACCGGACATTCTGACTGGGCAAAATCCTCAGGATGTCCACTGTGCTCCCAATGGCTGTATCTTCTGCAATGGTAAAGGAATACTGAGACTGGGTGAAGGATGGCAAGAATGTTTCAGAGGGCAAGACGTGGATATAGACAGGAATGAGGGAGTGCTTCACTGGGATGCCCCCGTCTACTGCTTTGACAAAGAACGAAAGCACTGTATTTTTCAGCTGGTTAAAATTACCCTTTGTGACCATCCAGCCATTGTCAGGATCGATTTCCAGGAGGTCGGCCACTGAAACTGAGGCCTCGCTATAGAGGGAATAAATAATCCTTGAATTTGCGCCATCATCAGGATCTATGGCTTGAACCTGAGTGACCAAGTGGCCCCTTCCCACATCTGCCCTGACGCTGGCTCTATATTCCACTGTCATGAACTGGGGAGCGTTGTCATTTTCATCCACAACAATCACTCTCACAGTGCAGAACGTTGTTCTCCCTCCGCCATCCAGGGCCCTCACAAAAATACTAACATCCCCTTCTAGAGGGTTTTCCCGGTCTAGCCTTTCCGTGGTGATGACCTGCCCATTGCTGTCTATGAGGAATCTATCTTTGGCAAAGTCATTGATGATGGCATAGCTGATCTGCCCATAAGTCCCTGGATCACCGTCTGTGGCTCGAACGTGAATCACCTTTGTTCCAGCAGCCGCGTTCTCTCTCACCTCAGCTACGTACGTGCTTTGTGAAAAGGCAGGGCTGTACAAGTTAGCCCCAAGTACCCTAATATGCACCTGTGCGGTGCTGGTGAACAACCCATCAGAGACAGACACATTGAGACTGTACAGGGGCTCCATCCGCTGCTTCCGGTGGTTGGACAATGTGATAACTCCACTCTTGCTGTCCATCAGAAAGCTCGTCCTGTCATTCCCAGATAAAATGCTATATTCCAACCGGTCAAAGTCAGAACTGTCTGCATCAGAGGCTTGTACACAGGTTACAAAATGGCCCCGGGGGGCTAATTCACTCACATATGACTCATAAATGAGCTGATTAAAAACCGGAGGGTTGTCATTTACATCGGAGATATAGATATGAACCAGAACCTCACTGCTCAGTGATGGGAAGCCACTGTCTGTTGATCTGACTTTCAAAGTGCAGTGTTGTACTAATTCATGGTCCAGCATCCGTGCTGTCAGGATTAAGCCACTGGAGCTATCTATGTGAAAATAATCCGTGCTGTTGTAGGTATCCTGGACAATCTGATAATGGACAATTTTATTGTTTTCCGAGTCTGCATCAGTAGAGACAATTTGTAAAACAGGTGTCCCGATGAGAGATGCTTCTGACAGTGTTGTATTGTAGGTGGGCTGATCGAAAATAGGGGGGTTGTCATTTACATCATTAACCAGCAAGTCAACAGTGACTTCAGCCCTAGCACCAGTAAGGGCGTCGCTGGCTCTTACTGTCAGCTTGTAAACGGATGTAACTTCATAATCCAAAGGGCTAACGACTTTCAGGACCCCAGTGTCAAAGTCAATGTTAAACTGTTTAAAAGGGTCCCCATCGATAATGATATATATGATGCCTTGGCCCTCTGGACTGGTGGCATTGATGCTTAGAATGGGTGTGTTCATTCTAATGTCTTCATTGACCGATGCTGCATAAAAGGGCTTATCAAACACAGGCATTGCTTTGTTGACAATAGTGATGGGAAGCTCCACAGATGTAGACAAAGGAGGTTTTCCACCATCCTTGGCTAGGATGGTGACTCCATACTCAATGTTGGACAAGTCGGCGTTGAACGCTTCCTTTAAAAAAACATTCCCTGAATTAGGATTAATTTCAAAGTGGCCGTAGTCATCCTGGAGGACATAGGTCACTTCTCCATTTGCACCTTTATCTTTGTCAATAGCTGTCACCTGGTAAATCAGAGTCCCTGGTTCGGCATCCACTTGAACAGCAGCATAGTAAGGGAGGCCCAGAAAGACCGGAGAATTGTCATTTATGTCTTCAATGTTAACCCTGACCACCACTCTGGCCACACGCAGATGGTCCAGCTCACGGCTGGCTTCCACCACCAGCTCGTATAACTCTTGTTCTTCACGGTCAAAGGGGACTCCAGTCGTCTGAATGACCCCTGAGGTAGATTTTATCTTGAACTTATTTCCTGGGTTTAAGATGCTGTATTTTAAGGGCTCGTTAAGGTGGTTTCCAACAGCATTGACGATAGCGACTTTGGTTATGTTAATATTGTTCTCCGCGATTGAGGTGGAATAGAAGCTTTGTGTAAAGTGGAGGCCGCTGTCCATGGCTTCTTTAACCATGATGTTGACCATGGATGTACTGTAGAACTTCCCATCGGACACTTTAACTATCAGCATGTAGTGATCCTTGGAGAGGTTGTTGTTTTTTATGGTAAGCACTCCACTGTTTGAGTCAATTAAAAAATGATCCAAGCTGCCTTCCATTAGGCTGTATGTCAGTTCAGGGGGTACCTCAGAGTCAGGATCTGTGGCACTAACTTTCAGAACCTCCACTCCAACATAGGTAGGTAGAAGTAAGACAGTCTCAAACACAGCCTGAGTAAAAACAGGTGGGTTATCATTCACATCTGTCACCTCAATGTTGACTTCAACGGGACTCTCTGCAGTCAGTTGGGGGCTACCACTGTCTCTCACATGCACATGGAAATGGAAATGGGCAATGGTTTCATGGTCTAGGTTGGCAATTGTTCTGATTGCACCTGTACTCGAGTCCACTGTGAAAAACTTTTTGGCTGTCGACTCCACAATCTGATACACAAGGAGAGCATTCCGGTTGCTGTCAGCATCTGTGGCTCGAATCACCAGTGGGCTGTTATCCAAGCTCCTGACAATGCTGTTAATGGGGGCAGCCTCACTTAGGCTGCCCGAGTATTGAGAAAAGAGAAAAACTGGGGCATTATCATTTTCATCAACAATCTGAATATTGACTGTTGCATTGGAAGCCATTCCTGCCATATTGGTGGCCTGAATGATGAGCTGATAAGAGGACATGCGCTCATAATCCAGGGCCTTCCTAGTAGTGATGACTCCAGAATATGGATTTATGGTAAAGATCCCATTAATGTCTCCATCTTTGACTTCATAAATGAGGGTAGACTGACTGATGGCAGAGATTAGAATGACTGATGTTCCAATGTCGACATTTTCATTTACTTCCGCTTGGTAGTCTTTGTGAGTGAACTTGGGGTGAGAATTATCAGACATGGTAACAGAAATGCGCACAATTGCAGTGGCAGACATCGGCGGGGATCCCTGATCTGTGACTTTGATGGATAGAACAAACTGACCCATCGCCGTCATGTCTGGTTCTTTGCAAATGGTGATGATGCCTAGGACTGGTTCAATCTTAAACGTGTTCCCAGTGTTTCCTAAAATACAGAAATCAATAGTGAAATGAGTTACAAGTGGGTCACTAAAATCCTTTTGATTAACTGTTTATCAACGGGTACCTTACTGCAATGTCACAAGTGGAAAGCAATTATAGTACTCATCTTTGTCATTCTGAAATGAAATGAGAGGCCCCTCTTTCCAGGGTATTGAAAAGCAACCAAAATGAGATTTCCAGTAATATGGTACATTTCAGATCAGTAGCTTCTAGATCTAGGTTAAAAAACAATGACAATAACACAGTATTGTGTGCATTCAAGTTGGGAAATAAGAGAGCCTGAAGAAGAGAACTTTCTGCCAAGAATGTATAGGCCTTCCTTATTTCCAGCCTTGTGAGAAGACAAATAGATTGAGAAGCCCATATATGAATGCCACAGTGTCCGGTTTTTTGTTCTAGGTTTAAAAAAGAGGGCTGTGGGAATAGTTTTAGATCATTATAAAGTAGTCAGTTGGATTCAGATGATCCCAAAAGCAAACTTTGCTAACATGGAATTGGCATTATTTTCACCCTGTCAAAAATGACTTTATCTAAAACACTACTTTGGCGAAGGCGTTTGTTCAGTCAGACAGCAAGAATTCTTATCAAGTCACTATTTGCCTTGTACGTGTGAGGCATTTTCCTGACTCCTCCTCTATTCTCCACTCACGCTCTACCCCTCTCCTGTGCCTCTGAACACACACACGCACACACCTAGACAAAAACGTCAACATAAAAAGTTATAGGGCAGTTGCTCAATCTGTAATCATTCTATTCACTAACCATTTGAGAATGTTTCTAGTGCAGTAAGAAACCGTTGGGAATCTGAACCAGCACTGCAACCAAGAACCGGAGACACAATCCTTGTGAAACTGAAACCAGGGTACCCCACTTTGACATAGCTGGCAGGGGAAGGGCTATGGCCATGACACTGTAGCAGTTTAGAGCTCTGCTTCAGAAATGTGGTGGTTTGAAATCTGGGATCGTTGAGAATGAGAGAAGTAACAGTAATGAAGAATGGGGAAGACAAAATGTGGAGTATGTAAGGACAGTAGGTGGTGACAGAGCTGAAAGGCAGTGGGTAGTGTGAAGCTACACTCTTCACCAAGTTACTTTTTGCTTCTCCTATCAGGCTTTCTCATACTTCTCAAAGAACACACATGCTTCTGTGTTGAGATTCTTTTTAATCAAAAGTTAAAGCTCTTGGTTATTCAACTCTATCTGGACTTTTCTTTCTTTTTGAGCATTGTAGTATGATAAACATATAATTTAAATGTCAAAATCATTCAAATAGGGACCAGGATTGTTATGAGATCTGTGTCTATGTACTTCTTCCTATATTCTAATTATATCAAGTTTTCCATGTCTGAACACAGAAAGGTCCTGTTCATGTAACAGCTATTTCAAGAAGACACTTGCTTATTCTAAAAGACAAAGTATATCTAATAAAGAGGTCATTTTCATTCCAGCTCCCATATGTGAATATTAAACAATGTTGTCTTTGATGTCAGCATGATTCATTGCATTGCCACCTAAACACGGCCACTTGGTGATGACAACAATACAAAGCTCGATGATCTTATGAGTAAACTTTCAAAGTTGCAATGAATAGTGTCACGGAATTGAGTGTGAGTGCAAGAGGTGATTCACAGACCTTTGGAAGGGTAAATCACTTCGCCTAAGCAACGGTCACCTTCCAGCGATGGCAGCAACCTGCGACCCTGACGGATGAATGCTACCGGAGCCAGGGCTCTTGGTGTTCATTGATTATGGTGCCCCACTGCAGAGTTCCTAGGTAAGTCCTCCCTCACTCCAGATCCAGCACATTCCTTCATACCCAGGAAGATATATTATGGTGGGCATGATGGGGAGCCAGCTTTTGACCTCAAATTTTCTTTTGTTTGTTTTTGAGATAGAGTCTTGCTCTGTCATCCAGGCTAGAGTGTAGTGGTTGATATGGGCTATGGGCTTACTGCAACCTCTGTCTTGCCTCAGCCTCCAGAGTACCTAGGACTACAGGCATGTACCGCTATGCCCTGCTAATTTTTGTGTTTGTAGAGATGGGGTTTTGCCTGGTTGACCAGGCTGGTCTCAAACTCCTGACCTCAAGTGATCCACCCGCCTTGGCCTCCCAAGGTGCTGGGATTACAAGTGTGAGTCACCGTGTCTGGCCTCAAGTAGAAATTCACGACCCTGCTGTCCCGTGGCTGGCTGATCTGCTTGTGACACCCTTCCAGAAGGGTGTGCTGGCACATCAGGTCCAAAGTCGGCCCTCTTCTTCTTTGCCTCTTTGACACACTGACCCATTCTCCTGGAATCCACTTCCTGCTTATTCTTTCCAGCTACATTTGAATCCTAAAAAATTGATCTCTGCTTGTTTTTCAGAATCTATGGCCTCTTGTAGATATTTGGCAATTGAATAAAAACTGTGCTTTTCCTATCACTTCTTATCTAGTCCACAACACAGTGTCTGCTACAAGAAGTTGCTCAATAATTAATTGATGAATGAATGAGAGGAGAGGTAAACCTAAAAAAAATCTTAGGCTGAGTGCGGTGACTCACGCTGGCAATCCCAGCACTTGGGGAGGCTGAGATGGGCGGATCACGAGGTCAGGAGATCGAGGTCATCCTGGCCCACAAGGTGAAACAGCGTCTCTACTAAAAATATTAAAAAAATTAGCTGGGTGTGGTGACACATGCCTGCAGTCCCAGCTACTCGGGAGGCTGAGGCAGGAGAATTGCTTGAACCCAGGAGGTGGAGATTACAGTGAGCCGAGATCACACCACTGCAGTACAGCCTGGGTGACAGTGCAAGACTCTGTTTCAAAAAAAAAAAAAAATACATACACACACACACACACACACACACACACACACACACGTATCTTAAACTCTCTGTTTGTAGGCACCTTGGGATCCACATGGCCCCATCTGAAATCAGTGCAGTCCCTGTCTCTCTTGTACAATCCCGCCACAAACCCACCATTGACACCAAACACAAAACTCAAAGTAGATATAAGACCTGAAGCTCTGCACTTAAATTCTGCCTCAGTCCTTCAGGCCACAATAAAAAGCTTCCATAGTTACTTGGGAGTACAGGCAGGAGACGGGAAATTTATAGCCCACTAATAAACAGAGTGAAATCTTGCTTATCTGATGTGTGTGAGAAAAGTTAAATAAAACATAATACTTTACACAACCATTTGTCATCTGCTTCCAAGTGTTGAAGCATCTGGGGTCTGCCTCTCTTCTACCCTCAACTGGGAAGAAACCTGCTCCACTAGGACCAGTGCAGTCCAGGGTGGGTGTGTCTGTCTGTCTGTGAAGGGACTCACTGGCCCTTTGAGATTTATTGTGAGCACTGCAATCCTTACTAGCTTCTTACATAGGATCAAAGGTCATTTTTGTTTTGAGATATCAATTATTCCCATGGTTTTCTGGAAGTCCAGGCTTTCTGTATAAAAGATGTTTTAAGGAAATAACTGTTCTGTCTTGTTTTAGGCCGTTAAAGAAATGACTGAGCACCACGGTGTAGTCTGCAGAGGTCACAAGACAAGCAGAGCAGTCTCTCTGGTTGGATGGCAGATTAAACTACTACTTAAAAAAAGCTGAACTAGTTGAAACACTATCTGACTATCTAAAAGGAGTATAAGTAGTAGGCTTAATGGCAAATGTGAAAAAGCAGGTGGAGATACACAGCAAATGTTTAGAACACGGTAAGAAAAGTAGAAATAAAACCTTGTATCTAAATGATTGCAGTGACCTGAAACAATGTATATGCATGAATGAATATGGGGCAAAGAAAAAGAACACAACATTGGAAAAAAGAATAAAAGAATAAAAAGAGTTGTTGGGTTAGATGACATTTTCTGAGATGTGATTTAAATATTCGTTTTCTAGAAAAGTTTCTTTATATTATCTGTGGAACCCAAAGAACAAAAATTATGTAATTAAGTAATAAAAAAAAGCCCATAAATCAAAGATGTAAAATAGCACTTCTAAGAAAATACTGGTCAGGCTTTAGATTGAAAGGAAAGTCCATGGAAACCTAGAAAAAAAAAATAGGTAAATTCTGGGAACTTAGCTATTAGGAACTCGCATCTTTTCTTTTTCTTTTTTTAAATAGAGCTTAGCACAGAACCACGTAAAATGTGGGTCCCTAATACAAGAAATGGGTTTAGGTTATCATTCAATGCAAGATTTTTTTTTTTTTTTTTTTTTTAAGAAGGTTGTTGGCTTTCCTTTTTCTAAGATTTCCAGTCCAAAACTGCTATTCTAGCATTCATATTTTAATTCAACCCCTCTCAAAAATGCTCTACATTTAAATGAAGGGAGAGAAGCCTTTCCATCTCTGGCATGAAAGGAGATTGGATTTGGCATTATTCACGACAGACATAATGTTGCAGAACGTTTTGGAAATAAGTGGCTTGAATATTCAAAAAAGATGGAATGGGAAAGAAAGAATGGAGCAGATTAAGGATATCTGTCATTTCTCAGGTTATCTCTTGCTTAGCCATTCATCTCTCTGCCATACAAGCTTTCCTGCTATCAGTCTTCAACCGTCAGTAAACTATGGTCTTGCCTTAGAGATGTTAAAATGAATTTTAAAACCTCTCAAATTTAACAAAACAAGAGCCTGTATCTATTTATGTCTCAGGTTCAGCGAGCAGTTCAGACTCCGTATCTACCATCCACTCTGCTGCAACTCAGGTTGCATCCAATGATGTGAATTTGTGCTAACTGTGAGGGTGAAGGAATTTCTGAAGCCCACAGACCACCTGTTGATAAGCAAAGGAAGACTTGTTAAGATTCAATTCACAGGACACCCTGGCAGCCCTCAAATGATGGGAGACTTTGGTGATTTTAGTCTGAGGCCCTGGCTTGTTGGCCCATGGGTAAAAGCCACTACATTTACTACATATTTCTTTTCTCCTCTCTAGCCTAGAAAATCCAAGATTGAACACAACAAAGGAAACTTTCCTTGTTATTAATGATGGAAAACCTATTACTGAAATGTCAAGAACTCAATCCACCATCCTCACCCAAATAGGGCAGGGGCTTGGCCAAAAAAGTTCATTTAGAGATGTTCCATTGTTAGTGATCTGAATTTTACACAGTGATAAACACTACCGAGGGTCGAATGCCATGCATTATGCTGAAATCTGTGCAGTGCAACAGCTCTCACCTGCTTCTATGGTATATATGAGTTCTGCGTTTTCCCCTTTGTCTTTGTCCAGAGCCGTCACTTGTAGAACAGCTGATCCCAGAGCAGCAGATTCAAACACAGATGCTTCATACAGTGGGTTGGTAAAATAAGGACTGTGATCATTAGCATCCTCCACATTCACAATGACTCGGGCCAAGTTTCTTCGATAAGGAAACTCCTGATCTCTGACCTTTAGGCAAAATACAAGAAGCGGTGGGACTTAAATCTTAAATTTCAAATAACTCACATGGCTTTGTCTGGGGTGAAAACAAAATGAAATAAAGCACTCAGAGTGCTTGACCTAGTTCCAGGCATCTAGTAGGTGCTCGATCAATGGTGATAGCATCAAGTGAGGAAACACCGTGAGCAATTTGAGAGCAGGGGTTACAACGGCTTTACTGCTCAGCCTAATGTCTGGCCTGTGGTCTGTGCTGCCTGTGTGTGTGGAACTGATGCCCTGATGTCACAAACGCAGTGCTGTGCTTGGGCTCTCCCCGTACCGTGACTTCCCCTTGTTATTTGTGTACACAGACGGTAATGGAATAGTGGACAGAGGCTCCTCGGCAGGAACAATTACAGAGGGGAATTAATGAACACAATGTAGGCATTTCCTTTCATCCATTCGACAAACATTTACCGTCACCTATCTGTTAAAGTCCCTGGCTTTGCTCTGGTGATTCAGCAGCGAATCTGATACGATTCCTGCCCTCAAGAAGCTTAGAGTCAAGGGGGAATACAAACAAGTAAATGGATGGGTATAACGCTCAGGGCTAAGTGTTCTCATGGGATGCACTAGAGGTGCTCGCAGAAAAGAAAGAAGACACTCACCTAGCTTTTCCCTTCCTAGAAAAGGTAACAAGAACAAGTAGAAATGGTAAAATGGTGGTGGTAGTGGGGTGTGGCCCTTTCAGGCAAAAAATCCAATATACAATGTACAAAGGCCTAGAGCTAAGAGAACCCTGACCCCTGGGCAGATGAGTCAAATCTTAATTTCTCACTTGGAGAAACATTAAATAAAATGTCACACTTTACACAACCATTTGTCATTTGCTTCAAAGTGCTGAAGCATCCCCTTTCTGATTTCACCAAAAAACCTTGCTTGGCAGTTTTAAAGTTTCTCCTAGCTTGCATATGGCAGAAGCTTGCAAATAATCATTTCTTTAAACACACAGTTTTGCTACGATTTAATGTAGCACTAATCAAATATGTACTCTTGGCTTTTTAAATTTTAAACTCCATACCTGCAGAGAGATGTGAAGAAATGAGAAAATACACCAAGAAGAGCCAACAAAGAGAAAGAGGTTTTTAGAAACAGCACTTAGGAGGAAGGAGCGGCACGACTAAAACGGCTTAGACAGCAGAAAGGCAGTATAAAAGCAGTTGTTGGCTCTAAATGTTCAATTATATAAGTGATAAGTGGTAGAGGGTGACCAAACTGAATTCTGAGTTTGTTAAAGAAAGAATGAATAGAAGTAACTTAAAGAATCATGAGAATGGAGTTAGTCACTAGCACAAGGTTTCTGCCCTTGGACAAAACACATGCAGAATTAACCCAGTGAATATCCTCCATTTCCCTGTCTGCAGACTGCTCTGCCATATCTAAGGACCAACCTAACCTCTTTCTTTGGGGATTGTTGAAATGTAGGTCAGTTCCAACTAAATTTAAGTTCCCAGGGAACAGGAACTTTGTCTTTTTTGTATCCTCAGTGCTTAGAAGAGTGCTTGGTGCACAGTAAGTGCTTGAGAAATACATGTTAAATGAATGAAGGAAGGGCCAGAGAGATGTCTGCAAGACTTCTACAATGACCACTTCTGTTTCCCGGAGTCTTAGCAGAAACCGTAGCTAAGTGCATGAAACTCAAGTTTCTTCTTGTCCAGGAATGTTTCTAGTCTTACGAAAGAAAAGGAGCACTTAGTGAAACATTACTTTCAGCTGCTTAGGAGGTTGTAGTGTCTTAGCGTAGTATTTTAAAGCCAATCAGTGCAGAAGATTAAGTCTATCCTTCTACTTGGTCTTAAAGGAACACAATAGAGGCTCTGATAGGAAGTGGCTGTGCAATGCCCTGGGGATTCTTGGCTGAAGGGACAGACTTCAGGCCATAAGTTAATCAACGATGTTTCTTATTAATCTCTACTTCCCAATTATGTGGACCAGAAAAATACCGCTTTAAAAGTAAAGCAATTTCTCCTATATAATTTGGAGGCCCCATGAACACAAACTCAGATTTATACTGGGCAGGCTTTAGCATGTATTGAGATCTCTTTTGTGTGCCAGTATTTACTAGTAGGTCCCATGCCAGTCCAGTAAGTAATAAATTGTTTTTCTAAATCCTTCCAAGGACTGAGCATTGCATAGGTTGAGAAAATGACTACCCTTGTGATTAACTTCTCAAGGAATGTCTTTTCAATTTTTCTATGAAATCTTCTGGGTGCACACCAACCCCAGAACCTGGGAACATGACCTGTTCCTTCCCTCTCAAGTCAGTCTGTTTGGAGCATTTATTGAGCAGTCACTGCTGCAGAACTTATCTAATATTTCCGTTTGGCAAAAACATAGAGTTGCTATCTAACAACAGTAGTTCTTCATTGAAATACAAAGGCAAAAAGGCAAAAATGAATGCAATCTGTCTGTGAAAAGACCAAATTTACAACTACTTATAAAAGTTAGGAGCCCTATACTTCTGAAGGCTGACACGTGTGGCTTGAACAGTCAGTGGTTCCGCAGAAGAGCAAATCAGGATTTAGGTCCTACCATTATGTTGAGAATGTGCTTGTCCTGGGCCTCATGGTCCAGCCTCTCCGCAGTGTAGAGCACGCCAGTGCTAGGGTCAATCCGGAATTTTCTCATGCTGATGGAGTCAATGCTGCTGTGAATAGTGTAGCTCAGCTTGTGTTTCTCGTCTCTATCTGTGGCTTCAATCTGCAGGATCTCTGTGTCTGGAAGCACATCCTCGGAAATTGTCACGTCATAATTCGGCTGAGAGAATTCTGGGCCATTATCATTATTATCCAGCACTTTGATGAATACCTATAGTTAAAAAAAAAAAAAGACAAGAATGATGACTAATGCTGATTTGCTCATTGCTAATAAAGTATGCCCTCCCTCCTTCTTTTCCCCCTTCCACGTCCTTGGATCCTAGCTTCTGGTAGCTCTCTCAGCATAGAGGAAGCTCTCTTATAAAAACACTCTCTAATCAGAGGTTGACAACAAACCAGTAGTTTACGTTAGCAGGAACATAAACTCTGAGCTGATCAATAGTCTCACTATTAATTGAACAGCTGAGACAGCCACCTGAAGGTGATCATTCTGTAGAATTCGTTGAGACACAATGTAAACGATCACAAGGTGACCTTCGTTTGTTAAGTTGCCATTATCTTAAGTTCTTGTTACATGTTTTCCTCTTGGTGGACTTCTGTGGAGGCAGGATGGGAAAAGGAGCACAGAAAAGGCAAAGGAATGAATGAGGTAGACTCAGAGCCGTCACAGCTTCTCAATGGTCACGTCCTCACACTGTGGTTGGCCTGATTGGAGGATCTAGCAAAGAACGTGGCACTAACTATAGCTAAGAAATGAAGTTTCCCAATTACAAAATTTTCAAATGGTTTTCTTTCATAAAGCGTTTTGTTACATAAATTTTCAGACAAATATGAATTAGTGAACCCTCAGATATTTATCACTCAGATTTGATAATAATCAATTGCTATTCTGGTTTTATCATACTTCCACTCATGCCCACCTGTTCCCCCAAGTTATTTTAAAGCAGATCCCAGCCATCATGTAATTTCAGTATGCATCTATAAAAGACAGGACTCTTAGAATAAACACAAACACACGTAATACCATTGCCGCGCCTAAACAGAGAATGGTTTCTTAACGTCCTCAAACAGCCCATTGGTGTTCATGCTTCTCTAACTATTTTCCATGTGTTTTGTGTTTGTTTATACACATATATGTGTACGTTTATTCATAATTTCCATGTATTTTGTTTATAAACAAATATGTATACATATATTCAAATAATACATATTTGCATATCTTTTAATCAAGATAGGCAAATAAGTTCCAAACACTGCATCTGGTTGATACATCCATAAATGGGTTAATTATATTTGAATTTAGAGGGTGTCCCTCAAACTCCTCTCTACTTGTAATTTTTACGGCGTTACGGTTGATACTAAAGAACTGAGCCATTTTCTCTTTAGTTCCCACAGTCTGAAATTTGGTCATAGCATGCCTGTGGTTTTGTTCTTCATGTTCCTCTGTCCCCTGTATTTCTTAAAAATTAATAGTTGGATCTAAAAGGCTTGCTAAGATTCAATTTGATTTTTTCTTGTTTTAGGAATTTTCTTTTTTCGTGTGTGTGTGTGTGTGTGTGTGTGTGTGTGTGTTTGGACAAAACTCCTTCATAAGTGATTTGGTGAACTTCCATCTGGAGATACACACTATTTGGTTCTCTCTCTTGTTCTGTGATATTAGCAGACACTGGCAATCACCATACAGATAATTCTTTAAAAAGTTCCGAATGATAATGTTCTAATGCTATGATTTTCTTCCTTGTTTATTAGTTGGAACAGTTCTCTGAAAAGAAACTTCTCAACTATTTGGTTACTGTGAAGTACATTTCATATAGGAAAAGTAGGATAAATAATTTTTCCCTTTATTGATTTGAAACAATGAGTTGGTTCTTTGGCTCCTCCCAAAGTGAATACTGAGGGATTCTTTTTCAACCATTATTTTGAACTCATGAATTTGATCACATCTGATTTGCTTCTTTCCATATAGTTATTACACTGATGATGCACATATAGCCCTACCTTGGCCTGTAGGAGCCTCTTCTAATTAGTTCCTGACATCTTTTGACACAGCCCTAGTACTCTTTTACAGCTTCCTTGCTTTCTGAAAATTGCTACCAGTAATTTTCCCAGTGTTACCTTGTACATTTCCTATCCCAATCTTGAATTACCCATTTCTCCAAAATGGCTTGTTTCCTTTTCAGTTGGAAGTGATATTTAGAGACCATGATCCACTGCTAGGAATGCTTATTGCCTATTGGGTTTGTTATTATGTTTCAGCGTTATTCACCGGACAGAGTCAGGAAAGGTTTGCGGGTTTTTTTAAGCTAAATATTTCATGAGTTCATATTGCTGCTGCTTATTCAAAATTATAGCATCAAAGTTTTTACTTAATCTCGTGGATTTCACATTTGTATCTCCTTTCTCTCATGCTGAAATTTCTCACGCTTAAGACATCATCGAAATTATTCATTGCTTTATTTGAACCACATGCACAAAAATCTCATAATAATTCTAACATTCTTATAATTACATTACAGTTATCATTAAAGACAATTTTAATATTATCTTGTAGTTCTTTTTGTCCTTAAGATTTATCCAACTAGGAATATATAGTCAAATCAGTGTGTTTAAAGTCACTTAAGATAGTTCTTTTCTGTGTAGATGTGCCACCAACTCGATATACATCTAAGATTATTTGTTTCCATTTGTGTTTGAATTTTAGACTTACTTTTTAAATATTTAATATTATATGTAAAGGTACCAGAGTCAAGTTTACAAAAAAGATATATTCAAAGAATTTCAGCTTCTATACCTTCCCCTATATTCTATTCCCTTCTCCTACAGATAACTCTAAAAAACATGGTATGGTTGACCCATCACATGTTTTGTTAATATAAACATACTGTATACACTGTTAAATGTTTCATTTAACATTCCATTAACATTACAGTTACAATTAACATAACATTAACATTGGTTCTCAACGAGGGATGCTGTTGTCTTCCATAGGACATTTAGCAGTGCCTAAAGGCATTTTTGGTTGTCACAGTGGGAGGAGGACTGTTTCTGACATCTAGTGGGTACAGGCCAGGGATGCAGCTAAACATTCTACAATGGCACAGGACAGTCTCCACAACAAAGAATTATCTAACCCAACATGCCAATAGTGTTGCTGTGGAGAAACCCTACCTTATATTCTGAAGATAATGTCATGGAAGTACAGAGATACTTTTCCAGTGAGTAGATGAATCAATTCAACTATTTTTCTACTGGTGTTCATTACGATGTCTCCAATTTTTGTTCTTAGAGTGTGCAAGGAGAAGCCTCGTGCCCTTGAGGTTTTTTTTTTTTCCCCATATTTTTTGCTAGCACATATTTACGTTCTAGAATTGGGATAGTTAGATCAAAGTATAGGTGCTTATTTAGTTTTTATATATATTCCCATATTTCCCTTGCTCAAAGGTTTTATCGTTTTGCATTCCCAAAATAATATATAAGAATGATTGTCTCTCACAACCTTGCCAACAGAATATGTAGTAAGACTTCTAGATTTTTTGCCTATCTGATAGATGAGAAATGGCATTTCAGTATAGTTTTAATTTACCTTCCTCTTATTTTTGAGGTTGGAGCAATTTTTCACATATTTAGGAGCCATTTGCATTTTTTTCTGTTTAATTATTTGTATCTCATCTCATTCTTCTATAGGTTAGATGGCCTCTTGTTCTTTATTTTTGGAAGTTGGTGATATAAATCGCAAATTTGTTTCCAATTTTGTCATGTAGTTTTATTTTGCTTATGGTGGATTTTTTTCTCTTTCTATGCAAAAGTGAATACATCAATCTTTTATCGTTTCTGGATTCACAGTTTAGACTATTTTGTGAACTTTCAGGTTATAAATGAACACATTCATTTTAAAAAATGCATTTGTATGTTTTCCTTTCTTTCATTTACATCTCTAATCCACTTGGAATTTTTCCTGGTATACTGTGATTATTTTCCATATGGTTCTCCATTTGTCTCCATGCCACTCTTTAGAAAATCCATATTTCTAGATTTTCTATTCTGTTTCATTCATTGGTTTATCTGTCTTTTCATGTATCAGTGCCAAAAGGTTTTAATTATAGAGGATTTATAGTACATTTTAATGTTTGGAAAGGCTAGGCCCTCTTGTTCTTCTTTCTCAGGGTTTTCCTGGCTATTCTTGCTGCTGCTTCTTAATAAACCCGTATAGCACACGATAGAAATTGTTAATTGCAATTATGCTATACGTACAGGTTAACTGAAGGAAAACTGACTTCTTTCTAATGTAGTCTTCCTATCCAAGAACATGGTTTATCTTTTTTTCATTTGTTCAATATACTGTTGTATTTTTCTGGGAACATTTAGTTTACCTTAAATAGGTTTTGAACACTTTTTCAAGTTTATATATATGCTACCCTAAGCAGTCTTCTTTTCCAATATATCTTTTCACTGTTTTTTTTTTCTGGGGGGGGGCGTTATATACATGTAAGCTCATGATTTTTGTATGTTAAATTTTTAACCTCTGATTTTACTAAATTTTCGTATCACTTAGAGAGGTTTTTCCATTCAGTCTGTTGAGTTTTTCAGATATATATAATTATACTACATGCAAACAGAGATACTTTTACCCTTTTCTTTAAGGCACAAACTGCTCTGTCTTGTCCAATTGCATTGGCTATTACAGTATGAACACAGTGATGCTGTTGTCTGATTTCTAACAGAAAAATCCACTAGTTATTCTCCATTAAATAGCATGCTAGTGTTTGGCTGTATTGTAGAACACGATTTACTTTCAAAAATAAATGCAACCAGATTAAGCCTACCTGTGTAAATGGCTGCACACTCTCACTCACTTTGGTACAAATATGCCTTTTCTGAGGGAAAGACAAGGGTGGTGGTGCCGCCACCTCCAAGACTTGCCATTCAGAGTAAGCTTGACATGGGACAAGCTTTGCCGTGGAGTAGTTTGTGGTAGAAAAAGGGTTAAAAAGTGTGCTGGTAAAGTTTTGGGCATTGTTTTTTCTCCACTGTATTTGCAGAACCATACTAGATTCTTTGAATGCCAATTCTTTCATTTACAAAGTCCAAGTTAACTTAGTCAAGATGCTAAAATATTTGTGTTCAGTTATATTAATGGGATGAAAAAGCCTTTCTGGCCAGCAAGCCTGCCCTGACCTTCACAAAGTTCCAAAATTGATGTGCTCTTGAAAA